CATAAAACATAAAGGTAGAATAACTTCCACATGAGCCCCATAACCAACCAGCACTGATCACATTCACATGGTCAATTGGTGACATCCCCTTAGCCCTGTCCCCTTTGAATAACAAGTCACCTGTTTTCCTACTAGTTCTATTCCTTTTATTCCATGATTCATAAAGATTTGAACCTGTGTTTAATGACAACATGAAGCTCAACAATGGCTGCTGGCTGGAGGATGTGGTGGGCACAACTGAATGGCGAATTCTAATCCCTCACCGTTTGCATATGGTTGACTTTAAATCACACATCCATCATCTGATTTGCACCAAACTGGGTATAAGTGACCTTTGATAACTTCTAAAGTCACCTGTTTTCCTACTAGTTGACTTATATTGGAAGTTGACTCCAGTGCCCCCCACCCCCAGGTTATTTGAACAATATATCCTTGAATATAACAGTAACTAATCTTCATCAGATTTTTGGTGCGTCATCAGGGAGCACTGTACAACACATTAGTGTGCAGAACCTAGTGGATTGGTGCATAAATTGCTTGTGAGCGTTGATGACAACAAATGGGTGGTGTAGCTGGGGCTCCCGTAGTTGTGACAAGGCGGAGCGGCGCTGAGCTGCAAGGACCTTACAAGGCTGTTTGCAGTTTTAATTCTATTAAACATCCACTTGCTGACTGTAGTGTCCTCTCTTTAGGGGCCAGGACACAGATGGAGGAAATGTTGAAGAAGCCTGCAACAGTGTTTCAGTAACACACAGAACCAAATTTGGACCAAGTAAGATGCCCGCAAGTATGTGTCACACTATGAAACAACAATGTGGCATCTCTGTCCTGGAAATGTGTTCACTGAGATATTTAACAAAACACAAAAGTTTAATTTAAATATTTAAATGAAACATAATACACAAAAAAGTATTTAAGCTTCATTTAAGTTTAATGAAACTTAGATACTTAATAAGAATCCTTTAATCAAGTATCTATTATTATTATTATTATTATCATTATTATTATTATTATTATTGTGTAAGTACATTTGATTAATGTAGCAACTTTCACAGATAAAACAAAGCACAAAGTGCTTCACAGATAAAACAAAGATACACAGATAAAATACAATGACACAAAATCAAATACCAAGTTAATCAATGTTTTTGTACAAAAACATCTTCAGCTGCTTTTAAAAAAGTCAGTAAAATCGGTGCAACACAAAAACAGTCAAAGTAGTTCCATAGTCTTAGAGTCCCAATCCCCATCAGCTTTAAATCAAGTGAATGAGACTCTCAGTAAATTCTGACCTGTTGACCTCAACACAACAGAAGAATAATGGGTTTACAGCAGGTCAGCACTATCCTGGGGGCTTCACCATGCAGGGCTCTAAAAGTAAGAACTAATGAAATTGGATTCTAAAACGTACTGGAAACCATTGAAGGGAAGTAATGTGTAATCTTCTGCTGATTCCCGTTAAGTCTTACTGCAGCATTTTGCACAATCTGAATGTGCAAAATGCTGCAAGTTAAAAAGACTGTTTCAACAATATAGATATGTATAGATAAAAGCATGGGTAATCCTCTCAAGTTCAACTTTCAACATGAGCAGTCGTAGTTTTGAGATATTCTGCATTACATAAACACCTGTACTGTTATTTTACATAAATCTGTTGTCGTTTATGAAATCTTTGTACAAAACAATAATAACGGCAAAGATTTTAAACCATTCTGTGTTTTAAATGTGAGGGTATTCTACGCGTTAGCCTGCCAGCAGTAATAAATGACAATAATGCATTCCACATATGGTCATGTTTGTGTTCATCACCAGTCAGTCTGCAGGTTTTCTCTGCTCTGACCCCTGAGTAAGCTCCAGCCTGTTTGTCAGTCTCGTGTCCTGCAGGAGAGCTGGTCTCTGTGTCTCTGAACGACGTGGTGCGATTACACTGTCCTGCAGCGTCACAGCTGTCCCACCAGCTGTGGGAGCGTCCAAACAGCCGCCTGTCCTCAGACCTCTACCTCCACCTGCAGGATGGGAGCCTCAGCTTTGTGGCCACCCCAGCCACCCTGGGCCACTACCTCTGTCTGTCCACAGAGAACGGCTACCGACAGACCATGGCCATTTATCACGTCAAGCAGAAGAGCAGTCCCATGGCTCAGACTCCAACCAGCTACACCCGGAGCCACACGCGAGCCCAGCCCACTAGGGAGGGGCCTAAAGCAACAGAATCCAGACCAGCAGTGACAAAACCCTCACTGGCCATCAGGAACACTCCAGTCACCACCAGGCAGCTTGATAGAAATCTGGAAACAAAATTCCGTGATGGGAACCCTCTGCTGTCAGCCTGCTGCCCCAGCTACCTGAAGGAGCTGGTGGTGGTGTCCGTTCTGCTGGTGCTGTGCCTCAGTCTGCTCATCACAGTCACTCTGTATGTTCTCAGACAACAATGGCGGAGACAGACTGCACCTGGAATGGGAACTCCAAGCAGGAGCTCTGACCGGAGGACCCCTGAGGAGCAGGAGTCCTTGAGGGAGAATGAGTTTGGGAGCAAAGCTAATGGTCAGGTGCCCTCTGGTGGACATGCCAGTGGCTTGGTTTGTAACAGGAACCTTACAGACTCTACCCAGAATTTGCCAAACACTCCCTTCTGAGCAGCAGCCAAAGAGCCTTTTGAGCTGCTACAGAGCAGAGCACCATCAAGGGGGAACATTGCAGTAGCAGGGCTCATTTGGTGAGCGCTGCACAGCAACAGTGCAGGGCAAAGTTAGACTTCCTGAATGTTCTGCAGCCTGAGTACTGCGCAAGTGGCTGCTCCACTTGTTTTCTTTAAAGGGAACTTGATCTTTTCCAATACAAATTAATGGTAGTTGGATCCTAACAAACAAAGCAGAGCTTAGTCTTTAAACCACATCTGAGATCTGACTGTTAGCTCAAGTCTAATGAAATGTGTAAATCTGTTTTATGAACTATTAGCAGTTCAACTGTGGTCAGTAGCCAAAACCCACCTTTCCAGTTAGAATGCTGTTGAGGTAACAGGGATGTGATGGTATATGGAGCTGTTTGGGTCAGACGGTGTTCCGCACCTCAATGATGTGTCTTTTTAAAGATGTTCTGGTGGAGTTCTTCTTATTACTTTATCTGATTTTCTTTTCATGACATCCTGGACTTTTTTTTTATCTCATTGATATTCCTTAACTCCTGTTCTGATTACACTCTTTTGTCACTGCACATGTTTTCCTGCTCATCAATAAACCAGATGCTGATTGTTTTTGATGCATTCATCCCAGTGGATCCTGTGCAGTCATATCTGTAGAAGAAGAAAGAATCATAAAATAGAATATGTGTAGGAGAAACATTCTTCTAATCTGTACTTTATCAATATTCCAATAACTTATTCTTTGCGCTTCATTTATATTGCAAAACAAACTAAGAAAAACTTAAAGCAACACTGAGTCATACATAGAAATATCCATTTAATGCCTACAGAGTTCAGTTGAGTTGTTTATCTCATGTGACACATGGTGCGTCACCAAACTGTTCATCAACTTCATTGTAAAACTCAGGAAGAGAAGGCAACATAGAGGCACACAGCTGAGGATTAGTCACTCTCAGCATTATCAGAACACAGTCTCGCTTTTGTACCACCTTGTACAATACTTAGCGACAGTTCTTACTAAATTAGCCATTTAAATGCACAGAGCTACTAGAACGCTCGTTGACTAATAACTGTCAATTCATGTCAAAAGTACTTTAATAATCTCAGAGGGAAAATAAATGCAGCATCTTGGTGCAATCAGTGGAGGAAGTAAAAAGCCCAGCATGACTGAACTGGAGTCAAACTGCTGGTGTGTGCTCACATGGTTTTGTAATGTTTGTTTTTGTACAGACCCTTCAAGGTCCACAGTGAACCCTCCCCCTGCAGAGGAAATCATGGTGATTTGGCATATGTGTAATTCACAATTGTACAATAAACACAGGGAGTCTTTGTTTATTGTATACAGACTCCTAAGAAATTACAACTTCAAAAGAGGAGGAAATGTGGCTGAGCAATAAATCAGTAATAATAGATGATGCAGTAGACATGTGATCAGTGTCGATAGGTAATACATCTGATAAAATTTTCATCATATAGAATATTCACTGAATTCTGATCCAGAACTGCACAGCATTCTGGGGAATGTAGGCATAGCCAGTGAATCAAGGTTGGGGGCATCAGTTAACTTACTCTTTGGTTACTTGGCAACAACTTGGTAAGAAAGTTGCACAGCAACAGTTTCAGGTTTTGCACTCAGAACTGCTTAGAAATAAAAAACATTGTGGAATGAAAACTGCACTAAAGAGTTAAAGTCACTATTTAATGCACCAGTTTGGTAGTATTTCAGATATTTAAAACAAAAAGTAATCAATAATTATGTCAACAGTTACTGATATGACTGATATGAAACACATTGTGAAGTTTTTCAGCTATTTACCGTAATATCTGGAAAATAAGCTGCTACTTTTTTCACACACTTTGAACACTGCATTATAGCTAATTTATAAATTTTTACCAATGAGTTTCAAAAGGCAGAACTGCTGCATGATGCAAGAGCAAATTTGTCTCGACAGAAGTGACTGAGCAACAAAGAGTCAAAGGAAGTGAGTGTGAGACTGTTCAATTCCAACAATGAGGAAAACGGCTTAAATGGTTTTGGTGCGCAGGATTAAGATGAAGATAATGATCAATGATTTTCCTGGTAGGCTACGGAATTTTATTATTATGTTTTATATTAAGCAGCCTTATTCTGGGCATTGTTTGGAAAAGATATCTATGGTATGTATTTGTGTGTGTAACCAGTACATATTTATTTGAAAAGTAAAAAAAAAAAAAATCTTTCTGTATAAATAACCCTAACAATGTGGACCCCTGCTAACTATATATGTACATCTGTTTTCTTTTCAGTTAGTGGGTGCAGCTGACATTCAGGTGGGCTCAGCTGTCCAGAAATAACAGAACTTTCTCTCCTTATATCTCCCTTAATACTGCATGACCTGGAAATTCACTCTGCAAAGACAATAGATTTTTTAAAGCAGTATATTCAACATATTTAACATAAATCATAAAATCTTGTTTTGGAAATTTATAAGACATCTTTTTTTTAATTATGCTTTTACAAAAGCTGAAAAGGAAATACACCTCTCACGATTTACTTTAATAGACATTGGTTATTTTATATTACAGGATTCATACGAATGCTTGAAATCCTTGAAAATGTTTGAATTTCAATTAGGTGCCCAATGTCTGGACAGATCTTGATTCTTTAAATGGCTCAAAAGAATGGTAAATGCAAATCATTTACCATTCTTTGCTTATTTAATTAAATTTCCTCCATTACCTAAATTAATTAGATTTGTGTTGCTGCTGTTCACTCCTGAACTGGTTGACATTTTAACTTCAGTTCCGCCCTGTATAAGTGCCGGATAAGTGTATTTTACTTATCCAGCAAATACAGTTCATCCACCAACAGTTTCTAATTACACCATGCTAAAAAAAATTGGTTAAACCTTATGTCCACTGTGATAGTGGAAATGCAGTAAACAAATAGCTTATCCACTTTTGGATGTTCACATTAATCCATTCTGATGTTGGGGCAATTACCTCATTTTTCTGAACAAGAACCGCTGCCTGCAGTTCATTGTGGCTTTTGTGCCCCTGAAAGTCCACATTCTAAAATCACCTCCAATAAAAACATCTTTAAACAAATTAAGACACTCTTCAAACAACATTGAGTCATACAAAGAAATCTTCACCTAATATCCACATAATTCACAGTTCAGTTGTTTATATCATGTGACACCTGGTGCGTCACCAAGCTGTTCATACAATTCATTGTAAGGTTCAGGAAGAGAACCAAACAAAGAGGTTATGATGAACAGTTGAGGATTAGTCACACGCTGAACATTATCAGCTATTTACTAAAAATCCACAAAATGCTATTGATCTTATGGGCTATTTGATTACTTTGGTCGGGTTTCTCTCTTTTTCTCAAAGATTAAAGGGAAAAAAAAGCTTTTCAGACTTAGTTGTAAATTTGTAAGTTCAATTTTGTGACTTCACTGCACAATTATTACAAGAAAGGAATTCAACAAGCTATTTATACGCAGAATTGGATAGTCATTAGTAGAGGTGTGCCGATCGATCGGTCACCGATCATAATCGGGCCGATTTTCGTGAAAAAGTGCATGATCGGTGATCGNTTAATTGTGTCAAATAAAATTTTTGGATTTCACCCTTTTGATTTGATGAGATTAGCAAAATAACTGGCTCTTGCATTCTTGAGCATCTCATTTAAGGAGCTGATTAAGTCTTTAAGGTGGTACCTGTGGGCCACCAGATCAGTACGTTTCCATAAACGTTCAGTTTTCCGGCATAGTCACAAGGTCACAATTTCCTTATTAATCCAAGGACTGCTTGTACGCTGAACAGTGTTCTGTTTTAAAGGTGCTATTAAGTTCAAAATGTCCTTACAGTAAATGTTAAAACAGAGCTCAAACTCAAAGATTAACTCAACATCAGATTGTGGTAACAAAACTAACTATGAAGATTGAACTTTTACAAAATCCTTAAAATCTTGTATAATGTATTCTGAAACCATTAAATCAAAGTTAGGACCATTGATATTCTCAGTAAACAAATTCTGGATTAATAATTTATGTTAATTTTAATTGTTTTTTTTTTTTATTTGTCATTTTTAAAACTCTATATATGTGGGTTTAAATAGCATTTCACTTACGATGCATTTCTGTAACATAAAATTACCCAGAAATATTTTTACATTTCCTGTCAACTTAACATCTTTTAATACAAAAACATAGTGTTTTTGTATTAAAAGCCCCAACCACCAGGCTTAGCAAGTTTTCTGGGGCAAATCCTGAATCTATATGTAACTTTGGGATAAATTCATACACAAAATACTTGTGATACAAAAGTTTCACACTGATTCACCCATGTGGAGTGCTGTAGTGTGGCAGTGAAGCTGCCACACTACAGCAACAATGAGATTCCATCAATATTTAAGTGGCCTGGGTTTATGCTTGGCTGCCCCAGTCGGAATTAATCTCCTTTGTTACTGGTTCCCTTCTAGCTTGTCAATATGAACTTTTAGGATGCTGTTGCCATGTGGTCAGAAAAAAAAAAGACTCAGAAAAAACTCCTCTCCAAGACGCATTACTCACACTCCCAAAGACATTTAATTTGAATGTACCATCACAACCTGTATCAGTTACTAAAAAGAACCTCGAGTTTAGCTATTTGCAGCTAATACACCGGAACAATTCTATGATTCAGTCATTAATTGCAGTGGAAAAGCAATCAATTGGTACAGTGGAATTTCCGATGCTCATTCCAATCTGCGTATGTAACACAGAGAGGAAAACATATTAAGACATGATAGGGTGGAAGCATTAGGGTCAGTACGACCTTCAAACTGCACTAGTCCCATTCATTTCAAAGTGAAGTTTTACCAAGCTATTTTGCCAGAAATTACACACACTAAAAATGAGCCAACTACAGCAGCTCACCATCCCCATCCTGAGAACTGCAGCCATTCTAATATAGAGGTGATGAAGGAGACTCCCGTCATTGTGTCGGACATTTGCCATTAACTAAGGACTAGAGAAAACAATATAGGCTTCCCCCCCACACACCCTCATCGACAACCTTGAGAGGACACATGAGAAGCTTTTCATCACAAATCACTTGATAAACTGACAGATAGATCAGGTATCTCATAAGAAATTGACAGGACAGAGTTTGTCTTTAGCTTCATTGACTACACTAATTAAAGACCTCTATCCTCAAGCAAGGGCTAAGGGAATCATTTATTACACAATATACTTAATAATCCTAATATCAAACCTGTCTCTTTAGAACTACAATTTAAAGCTTTACAACCATGCTCAGACCCTGCCTCCATGTGTGCCCTGTCTGTGAATTGTATTGTTATCAATGGAGGGAAAGATCTGTGACTTTACCCAATTATTGCAATGTTGTAAACCTTCACTTAGTTTTTAACATTTTCTTAAAACAGATGAAGTTGCACAGGCTCAATGAAACACCAAGCACACTGCCCGATTTCCATAAGAAAAAATCATACAAAATTTATTTCAATTATGTCATTTTTTTCCTAAAAGGTAAACTCAAGTTTAAAGACTTCACACATACACTGCTACATCTCAGGCATTTATTATAGGTACACTAAATAATTCAGGCTTAGAGTTAATGTAAACCTAAAATTCTGTA